TCATTTGCGAAGAATAACCGTACGGACACTATAAGCGGAGTCTTTACAATCGGATTCTATATATTTCTAGTCAAGATCTACATAGATTAAATGCATTTCGAGTCGAATCGTTACCGACGTAATATGTATACTTATATACATATGTATATTTATACATACATATGTATCTAGTCGGCATCTCTATGCTTTCTTGAAGCGAAGATCACATTGCATAACTCTGCACTTTCCAACAACTCAGCTGAACTGAATTTCCAGCTACTTATTTCGGGGCCTGGTCGAATGCTGTTGAAGTGTGTGATAAATAACAATAATTTGCATTTGTTGTCTTACGCTGCAGTCGCCCTTCCCCCTCCCCCCCAGTCTGTCCGTCCGGCGCATAACTTCATCTCATGTTGGGCGCATATTTTTGTGTTCACAAATTGTTGCCGTCGGCTGATGCATGCAGCAAACCCGCAAACCTGCAAACCCGCAAACCTGCAAACCCTTTCCCTGGTAGCCCGGGCCAGTGCAGCCCCAGGTCTACGGCTGATTCAGTTGGCTGTTTCTTTGTGGTCATTTGTAAGCCACTCGGCTGTCCGTCTGGCTGCTCGGCATACTTTCTCGGTCTTTGTTGTCGCTTTTGATAAAGTTTGCCTTATGTTGTTGTTGTTGCTTTTGAATGCAGCTGCCGAAAGTTTCGTTGGGCTTGTTGCAAATTGTTTGTCAGTCGTCGTCAGTGGCTGTAATGGAAGGCCCGCAGCGTTTTTTATGTGGCAGACGTGACAGGAAGTCGCCAGCAGCAGCGCACTGAGCTCTGTAGCTCGGCTGTCAGCAGCGGCAGCAAAAAATTCTGATCGTATATTACATGAGAAGTAACTTTCGCTTGCAATGACATGTACACATATTATGAAAGATCATAATCTACATATATGTATATATGATATATGTATAACTGTTGTGCTGCTATATCCGCATATAACTTTATAGTTAATCCATTTAGTTTGGCTTTGGCTCGTTAGTCGCTGCCTGCGTGTCGTCAAAGCATTTGCCATATCTTTATCGCCTGCTTTCTCATTAGCATGACGCACTCACTGGGCCCAGTGGACGTGAGCTTGGTGTCAAGGACAACACTGTGAACTTTGCTATTGTGGGCCAGCCGGCAGCTGTCGACGGTCGACGGTCGACTCTACCAACCGCCACTTGAAGCCAAGTCACACCCATACGCACACATCGACGTCACAGTGACTTTGTCAAAGGCAGTGGTAATTTTTTAACGCCGAAGCTCTATACCCATTGAAGTTGCTTAAGGGGTGTGGGGCTGTTCAAATTCCAGATGGCAGCACTACGAGAAAACACTATTGTTGGCATGTTGACAATAATAATAACTTCATTTGGTTCAAGTAAACTTTTGGACATCACTTTTTGAATATGGTAAATCTCTCTCTCTTCCTCTCTTCCTCTCTCTCTCTCTCTCACCATCTCTCACTTTCTCCCTCTCTCTCTGTAGTGTTTCCAGATGGGTACATCGACAGCCCTATATCCAGTCAGATATAAGTAAAGGGAGGCTTAGCTAATCAACAGTCTAGTCGATCCAGTTCTTTAGGTATGCCTCTGTCTCTTCCTATTTCTTTATACTAAAGCACTTTAAACTATGATTGGCCTAGGGTGTTAAGGTATCTGCTAGTCAAGCATTCCCAGTTGTCGCTCTTTGAGTTGTTTTGCCTTTAGCGGATTCTTGAGCTGGATCAATCGATCTAGCCTCTATCTGTCTAGAGGTTCATTTATTGAGCTGGATCAACAGTCTTGTCGATCTACCCCCGTTTGTCTCTATCTCTATCTCTCACAATGGGCTATCTTTGGCTAGGGTGTTGGGTATCTCTTAGTCAGGTATTCCCAGCTGACGCACCATTTGTTGTGTTCCACTCACTTGATTCTTGAGCAGGATCAAGAGTCTAGTCGATCTACTTCTGTATGCCATCTAGCTATTCTTCCGCCTCCCTCTCTATTCACGCAATAATCTTCAAGTCAGTAAGCCCTGGGTATGTCTTGGTCAGGCACTCCCCGTTGGCGTTCTCTCTCGTTGTTCTACACTTAATTTCTTTTTGCGCTGCCAACTTCTCGCTTGCCACTGCCTCAGTTCTCGACGTAAATTACAAACTGTTGCATTCCGTGCATCCCCCCCCCTCATTCAAAGCATTTTCTTCGTTCGCTTTCAAACTGCTGACGGAATGCCTTTTCTTTATATTGCAATTTATGCATATACTGGCAGCATTTAAAGGCGCTGCCACCGAGTTTTGGATCGTAGCGTTAGCTCTCTGATTCTATATCCTGATTTAGCTCGAAGAAAAGCTTTTCTCTAAAACGATTTTCCAGCCGCGTTTGCTCAAATCTGTGTCAGAGCGCTGCCAAGAACTGGGCAGAGAGTAAATCAAAGTTGAGCGACTCAACTTGTTAATGTATGTGTGTGCGTGTGTGTGTGTATGCGTGTGTGTGTGTTGTTCCTTGTTTCTGTGCATTTTCTCGTTTTAATATTTGTGCAGCATTGCCTTTTGTCGTGGCTCGTGTTCGTGCTGCGCTTGTTGTTGGCCGGGCTCTTCACACATACACATACACATGCACATACACATATGGGAAAATCTCGTTTTGTCAGTGATTCGCTCGCGGATGGAGGCGTGGCCGGCATTGAGGGCGTTTGCCGGACCGGCGCCTAGCTGCAATATTAAAAATGATATGAAATCAACAGACCAGCGAGATACACACACACACACACACACACACGAAAGTTACTAAAAGAGTTGCTGGACCATGTCAGCATCAGTGGGAAATGACGGCTTATAGAGCACAACAGCAACAGCAACAACAGCAGCAGCAGCAGCGTAACATACAGCGATAGGTGCATAAAGCTGATTTTGTGTATGTGTGTGAGTGTGTGTGTATTTGTTTCATTTCATGGACACAAATCTTTTAATAGCATATACTGCTGGTAATGGCTTACAGAAGAAGCAAAAATCAAATGCCCAACTATGATATACCCTAGCCCCAGAACATGTTTTGTGGAAGAATTATGAATAAATAATTTAAATACTATACAAAGTATTAAAAAATCATACTAAAATGATGGACTAGTGGATGATGGAGTATGGAGTATATGGAAATATTGACTCACAGAAGATAGAAGTACTACGAAATAGCTCAAACAAAGCTGTTGGCAGAGATTAAAACGCATTCTTTATTTTAATCCATGCTGAGATGCAAAGTCGTCTGATAAAATATTTAAAAAATACCAAGCCGAGTGCATGTCATGCGGATATATGTAATTCAGCTATTTCGTACTCTCATTGGTCTCTGCATCGAGAATTCGATATGTTTTGCCGCACAGCAATGGCATTGACTCACCTCGAACCCAATATGTTCATCAGTTGAATCGATAATCCCGCCCAAAAAAAAAAAACAGGGCTTTACGCGAATTGTCATCCATATGTTTTTGCCTGTCAAAATATGTTGAGCGGCAACCTTTAATTTTTTATTAAACATTTTTTCCGTATAGCTGCTATGATAGTTGAGCAAGGCTCAATTATATTTGCTGTATATGAATTACAAATTAAATTTATTAAAAAAAAAAAAAAAAAAAATACAAATAAAATAAAAAATAAATATCAGTAATATATTCATTGAGCTAATATTAAAATATATGTATATATGTGTATGTATTTAAGTTGCTCGAATATATTTTTTTTCTCTTGTTTTTTCGTGTTTAATTTGTAATACAAATTAATCTAAATTTTTTTTGAATAGTTTTTGTTTTTGGTTTAACAAATGCTCAATTGCGGTTTACGCTGCCATTGGTAAATAATACGGAATGCATAAATGTAATAATCAGAAAGAAAGAGGTAGATACAGAGAGTGAGTGTAAGAGAGAGAGAGAGAGGGAGCAAAAAAAAATGCGATTTTTTAAATCACTGTCGAACCGTTCAATGTGCAATTTAACGGGCTGTCAGTGTAGCCAACCAACTAACTAACTAGCTGACTAACTAACTAACGAACGTACTAACTAGCTAGTTGATGTTCTTGCCGATGCATATCCTATTACAGTTTCCGTTGCGGTGCACCCAGAGTTGCAGCCACTCGGAGTGAATGCGACAAAGAGTCTCAAGATGAGGCGCTGTACGTCCGTCCGTCCGTCCGTCCCTCTATTGGCCAGGCTCATTGCCAGCTGGGTTAGCTAGAGCTAACTGGGCATTGATAATTAAATTGAGCCAAGATCTGGGATGTTGCAGATTATAATAGAAATTTATAGATATATTTGGCGGGTCTATAGATTTATATTATTTATAGAGATATATTATAATATGATTTTCTATTTTGATATAATAATATACAATACAAAATAAAATAATACATAAATATAAGTATGTATAAAATAAAGTAAAATTTTATTGAGTATACGAATAATTGAGTTAATTACTATTATATTAATTTACCAATATAGAAACATTCTGCATTCTATATTTAAAATATAGTAATAAATAAACATACAAACTTATAATTAAAGTGTAGTTAACAATTATTTTTATTTTTATATTTTATTTTATTGATATATTAATAAATAAACATACAAACTTATAATTAAAGTGTAATTAACAACTATTTTTATATATTATTTTATTTTTATTTATTAATATTTATAATTTACCTGAATATTAACTACTCATTAGTAATTGAAATATTAGTCAAATATAATATTATTTAATAAAAATTATATAAATCATAACTTTGATTATATATATAAAAAAAAAAAAAAATAGATAATTATATTAGCTCTTATTTCAACAATCAAAAATTTAATTAAAAAATAAAAAAATAAAATGAAAGCTAATTCAAAATTTAAATACGGCCGAAATTAAATATATTATTATATTATAATATGACCCAATTTTGGTCAGTGTAGTGCAGCCTTGAGCTCTCCAAATGCCTTCAACTCTAGCTTTAATATACGCATTTTCTTGTCTGTCTCTTTGCAGGACGAACGCCAGCTGAAACTATAAACTGCAGCAGCAGCAGCAGCAGGAGCAGCAGCAGCAGCAGCAGCAGTCTGTGTGTGTTGGTGGCTCGAGCTTGGCCAACTATCATTGTGTGTGGCATTGGGCAACATTTTAATTGAAAAAGTTTTAGTCTGGTCTGAGGCGAAACGTCACACAAATATGACTGTCAAATTGGCCAAACTCTTTGGCAGCGGCAGCAGCAATAAATCCAAGGCGAACAGCGGCAGCGGCAGCGGCAGCAATGCGTCCAATGCGTCCATGCCCCTAAATGGCCATGGCCAAAATATGCAGCTACCGGCGCCGTCACTGCCAATGCCAGCCAATGGAAATGTGAAGCTGATTAAATACTGCGATCATCAACATGACCGCCAGCGGCCGGCGGCAATGACCATTTACGGGCATGCCTATGAATGCAACCAGATGGAGGTGGAGCTGGAGAACGACTACGATGACAACATGTCACTGAGCTCGGCCTACATGCAGCGCAATCATCCCTACAACAACTCGCAGCGTCCGCTGCTGGGCGAGCGGCGTCCCCAGCTGCAGGTGACCAAGGCCGCTGGCAAGAAGAAGACGGCGACGGGCTCGCCCATGGCCGGTATACCGCTGCCGGCGCCCCCGCTGCCGCCGCAGCGCCACTGCAATGGCAGCGACGCCTACGTCTCGCCGTATGTGCAGCAACAGAAGCGCGATAGCGCCAAGGGATTGCACGGCTTTAACGACTTTGATGCCCTCTCCCAGCAGTACAATCAGCATCTGCAGAGTCCGCACATTGGCTATCCGTATGGCAGTCCGCCCTCGCCGACGGCTCAGTCGAGTGACTTCTGCTTCGATGGGGAGCGCGAGAAATCCTTTAAGCCCGTCTCATCCACCGGCAGCTCGACGGCCACAACCAAATCGAATTGTAGCTCCAGCTCGGCTGCCAATGGCTCACCGCCGACCAATGCCTGCTATCATCCGTCCGACTCTGGCAATTATCTGGACGCACAGCACACGGCGAACGCCCAGCTGATGCTGCACTCGTCACGTTTCGAGGATGATTTCTGTACGCGGCGCAATGTTGATTTTTTGACCGACACCGAGCGGTCGGGCCTGAATTCGAATACGAATCTGAATCCCCATCCCCAGCCACAGCCAGTGGGGTGCCCAACCACGGGTCCCTTCATATTCGGCATCTCGCATGAGCAACAGCAAACGGATTATGGCCACCGCAGCAGTTGCAGCATCGACAGCATCACCAAAACTAACACCAACAGCAACAGCAGCAGCAACAGGACCAGCAGCAACAACAACAATCTCTATCAGCCTGTGATAAATGCCACGCCCATTAAGGAACACAATGCACTGGTGAGTAGATATCACTAGGTAGCTAGCTAGACCAGGTCTTTCACTCATTCTCACAGCAGCGCAAAACGTGGCCCAAAAAATTACAAAAAAAAAGAAAAAAAAAAAACTTCTGCTGCCTTTTTGCGATAATTAGCGTTTTGGCCAAATGGCGCGCCAGAACTGGCGCTGGGGCTGGGGCTGGGGCTGCACAAAAAGTTGGCCAAAACGACGCCATTGCAGATAAAATTAATTAGTGCGTTCTATGCAATTATTGTATTCATGTTTTATTTTTAATGAGCCAAAAGCCAGAGCAACAAACTTTCCTGCCAGCCAACAACGCGCTATCTAATTAACATCGGAATTTCGCAAATGTCCTCTTTAACGGCAATTGCTGCAAATTGTTAGTTATCACAGAGTACAATGGATAAAGTTACATTTGCTGTGAAGCATTCACACTGCTCTCGCTGTTCACAATTTGGTTGAGGGCATATACAGTGCATGCGAGTGCCGATAATTCGAAATGGCAAGAGAATCAGTTTTGTTTTTTTCGATTTACACAGAAATTCAAGTTATCGAGAATTATCGAGAACATATTTGATCGATTTATCCCGATTTTCGATTTAGCGGGGCAACAATGATCGACAGTCAACAAATAGCCAAGAATACTGCTATAGATCCCTAAATAATCAACTGTAGAATTTGAAATATTGCCTTTAATTTTAATTTATCGAGTGTATGCATCTATAAATTTAATATGGATTAAGTCATCTTTCTGATTCTATATGTTTATCCAGAGAACTTTTAATCAGGCTGATCTTAAATCATTTTCATTTGTTGTTCCTTCACTTTTGAAGGCTTATTCAAGGAGTATGGGAGTATATCGAGTTTGTGTCTGTCAATTCAAATATTTGTCCATCCGTCCGTGTGTTAATCTTTCTGTGATCTCTATTTAGAGCTGAAAATATGAAATATATTCTAACTTTTGATAAAGTAAGCTATATAAAACTCCAAATTATAGCACTACTACAGACTCCTGCTTTCAGTTCTATTTATACCCTGAACGAGTATTATGCAGCTGTTAGTGCCCGATTGCAGCACTCTCACTTATTTTATGTAGGTCTGATAAAATTTGGCCAGGTCGAGCTTTATCATATTAGCAGAATCTTATCAGCAGCGCGCTGCCCTCCATCTAAGCTGGTTGATGTTTGCATAAGAATGTCTCTGTTTTCGCAAGATGTCTAGACAAAACTCGGCATTATAAAGCGCATATTTGTTTAACCCCCAAGGGTTATGCCCGTCTGGTCTAATGATCTCTCTTTGTTTTTTTAGTATTTAGTCCAAACTTTTGGTTTGTAATGGGAATAAAATTTAGATGCAATTAGGCAAATTTGTTCAATGAAATCACTTAAAAATATATATAGAAGATTGTGGTTAGACTATTATAAGATATTATTGCTGATGCCAAAAAGAAAAGAAGAAGATCGTTAAATGCACAAAGCAAAGAGGAAATGAAGCGTGAAAAGAGAGAGAGAGAGAAAAAAAAAACGGTCGTGACCACAACAACAATTTACTGGGTGAAGCAGCTGCAAAGAGCTGAGAGTTTTACAGTGAGCAAAAAGCCTTTGCGCGCATCTGTGAGAGGTGGCAAACAATTCGAAAGCATTTGAATGGCGAGGGCCAAGTCTTGAGAATTTTCCGATGATGCGGTTGCTGCTGTTGGTAGTGCTGGTAGTGCTGCTGCTGCTGCTGCACGACTGTTTCTACTGATAAAGGAGCGAGCTGCGCACCTACGGCACTCGAGCCACCAATGGGCAGACAGGGCAAACATAAAACTGATGGACACCATAGAACGTAAGCTCAGAATTAAAAAAATAGATAGGAGAATATAAGAAAAGTAATGGCAAATGGGTGTAAGAATGGAAATAAACGAATGAGGCAGAGCCCAACACATACAAACACACACACACACAGAGAGAGAGAAAAGCCATGTCAATGTCTCGCAGAGCCAAACTTTGCTGTGGAGCCTTTCATAGTTGCTACAGAACCTCAGAGCCCACTATGCACAGTGGAGCAAAGCTGTAGAAACAGGTGTGCAAGTACATAAATGCAGAGCTAAAAGATCTAGAGTTATTCAGAGACTTTTGGAATGGATAAAGTATGAATATAAATGATAGATTTCTGCAGTAAATTCATAGATTTTTTAATACCAAGAATATACAAGGAATCAGCCTGGAATGGTAAATAGTGCCGATAATTCGAACTGGCAGAGAATCTGATTTACATTAGTTACGCAGAAATTAAAATTATCGAGAAGGAATTTTTTTCAAAGGGATAGAATGTTTTCCGATTTATTGATATTTTAGATTTATCGGAGACTCGATTGTGTATGCATTTATAGATTTTATCAACTATTACAATCTATGCAATTACTTTATTTATGTTATTATTTCACTTCATTTTCACTTTGGTATTCTAAGCTTTATTGGAATATTATTTGCTGTCTTTGAAAAAGTATTTGTTGTTTATGTCTAAGCAAAATCTATTTTTAAAAACTTTCGAAAGGGCTTTAACTTTTGCCAAGAGCACTAGGTAGTGAATCCACTGTGCGCCGATGACGACTTGACTGCAGCAACAGCAGCAACAGCAATAGCAACAGCAGCAACTTTTTGCTGCAGAAGCTGCATGCGCCTCGGTCCTCTTACCGTTCGACAATAATGCCAAGCAAATTAAAATGTTGTGCAAATAAAATGTAAGAAATTTTCACGTTTTCTTCTTTGGTGAAAGGCAACAACAACAGCAGCGACAGCAACAACAATAAAAGTACAAAAATAAATAAGACCAAAAATACGAAGAAGAAAAAAAAAATAAAGAATAAAGAAGCAGAGAAGAAAAACGTTAAAAACTGTTAAGGGAAATGAAACGAGAAAAAGTGGATTGCAAAACGCGAAAGCAGCTGAACGCGCTGAGTCCCGAGCACTGAGCAAAATTAAAACACATTTTGTAAATTAATAATGAAATGAATGCATGAGGCGAGCCCACTGAAACACCCAAACGTCAAACTGAGCACGCAGAGCGCCGAGAATAGTCGAGAATGTGAGAAAAATCGCGAAATCAGCAATGAGAACAGTTCAATGGGGTAAATTATATGAAATTCAAGTTGAAATGATCAAGACATATCCAATTTATATCTATGGAAATTACATGCGAAATGGAAATGCAACAATTAGAGAGAGCTTGACTTTACTCGCTAGAAGAGCACTCTCTGCTTATGTGAAATATTTACGTTATTAATGAGACCTATGGATTGAATTTGAGAGCTGAAAATATTCAGAATTCTCTTAAGTGATGAGATTTATGCTTGAATGCATCGAAGGCCAGGCCTTTATCATTTATTAGTCAAGAGCTATCTTTATAAGTTTAGCCGAGCGCCGATAATTTGAAACGGCAAAGGGAAAAGTTTTTTTTTATATATATAGAAAATGAAACTATCGGGAACTATCGGGAACGATATTTTGTTTCGATTTATCGCGATTTTTGATTTAGCGGGTTACAAATTATCGAGACTGGACTGTATTGGATTAATAGACCTTTAATTTTTTTTTTTTTAATATATTGAGCTCTTTTTAATGAAACTTACATATCTCTACTCTATAGAATGTACTACAGGTCATCAAGGGGAAGGATATTTAATGAAGTACAGGATATCATAGAGAATTAATAATAATAGAAATATTGGTAATATTGTGAATGGGTCTATTAGCAGAAGACTTGTATCAGTTAGAGCTGAAATTGAGAGCTGAGGGATTTAGAGAAATCTTTTAAGAGAGATTTAATCTCTGTTCGGTTGAAGGGGGGGATTTATAGGGAACATTGTCATAGAGGAGTAGTATATAGCTAATATTACTGATATTGCGAATGAATCTATTGCCTGAAGACTTGTGATAGATATTTATTGAATTCTTCTACTGAGATTTAGTCTCTGCATTAAAAGTCAAATCTATAAAAGAGAGGGTATATAATAAATAAAGTATATCAGAAATACCTTAGGGATGGAAATATATATATTCAATAATATTTGATTTTTAATTACTTTAATTTAATTTATTATTTCAAACAATCTACAAATTTGTATGGATATAAATTTCGATTAGAATATATACCCGAAAAGTGACTTTTACTTAATGCAATTACAGTTGGATAATCTGGCTTAAATGGCATTAGTCTAAATTGCTAATTAATTATATGAGCAATGGTAGAACATTTAATGCTTAAATTGTCAATTTGATTGGCAATTATTTTTATATATATAAATAATAATTATATATAATTAATAATTACATAACTTTTGCGAGCTTAACTTTAAGCAAATCGCAGCAAAGAAATAAATAATAAATATATAAATAAATAAATTGTGTAAATTGTTGCTGCACCTGCGAATGTTGTTTTTGCCTTTGCTTTGAAAACTTTTGCAATTGAAATTGAATTGAATTGAAATGCGTTTGTATGAGTTGCTGTTGCTGTTATTGTTGCTGTTGCTGTTTATGTTTATGTCTGGTATTGCCACATGGTCAATGTTGTTGTTGCTGTTGTTGTTGTTGCTGTTGTTGGAGCGCGCGTCGCTCTGTCTGGCAACGAAGCCAGTGCCAGACATAAAAGTCAGAAACGCAGCCGTTGTTGTCTGGGTCTGTGCGAGGCTCAGCGAAGCATTGCAGCTTGACCAGATCTCTGGGCAGGTGCCTGAGATGAGGCGGCCAATAGGCCACATGACCATGAGGCGAGGTGAGGCGTGGTGAGGCGTGGGGAGGCGTGACTGTGCCAGGCTCCATTTCATGCTGTAATTGTTAATATCATCTCTCTATGTCGGACGCTGGACAGCCGCTAAACAGCTGTCAAGCCCGACCGGCCAGCTGCCCCGCCCCCTGTCGGTGTGTGCATTATTTGATTAAAAAGTTGTATTTTTTGGCAGACGAGAGCCGGCGCTCACTTTTAGTTTTTAAAGTGCGCCAGGCACTCGAATTCAG